CCGTCGAGCTCCCCGCGGGCCGCCGGCCGATGCGCCCGGATGACCTGCTCGCGGCCACAGCGCTTGGCCACTCGGACTTGACCCACCCCTCCGATTTGTCTGAAACCAGCCTCCTGGAAATCAGTTTCAGAAGGAGGTGGTTTGCCTTCTTACAAACCCCGTCCTTTGGCGAATAGATTTTTCTCGCTTTCCCGTGTGTTCCCCCCGACTTTTCCTCTTTCCTCTCCCCTCTCGTTGGGAGCATTGCGTTCATTTAGGAAGAGCTAACGGTGTCCTGCGACTTACTGCTCTGTTAACAACAGAGTGCAACTGTGTGTTTTAAAATGACCCAAATAAAATGACAATTTTCTAAAACCAGTTTTACTTTTTTTTTTTTTTTAATTCTTTGAGGCACTAAGGCACTAAGAGAAAGTTACCTAGCTGTGGCTAGGAAATTAGAGTCTTGTGTAAATTGAACATGAAGCTTAAAGTTTAATAGGTATTTTACAGTGTTAAGTCAACTCAGTATATTTAGAAATGTCATTTTCTTTTGAGGGATGGGCATCCATTGGCAATTTAGGGTTACTGTATTCTCCCTTTCAAGACACAATCACTATTACCAATAACTGATAAAGAACTTAAACTTCTAACAAGTTTTTTGGTGGTAAAGCTTATAGAAATTATCAATCATTACAAAGAAACTTCACCTTTTAAAAGATACACCAAAATATAATGTATACATTAAGGAAGATAAAATTTTTAATAATAGAAGGATCCAAAAGACTGCTTTGACAGATCAGTACCTCCAGAGAGATAAACACGTGTCTTAACTGTTTTAGAAAAACTATAACTCTGTTCATCAATAAAGTGGAAACCATAAGGACTCACCCCGTAAAGAGGATGGCACTCGTCTCTGAAATATGGAGCCAGTCGGGCATAGATCTGCAGGCTAGAGTAATATGCTGCCAGCAGGAGAGAGAAAGCAGAGCGGGACTGCTTTTCAAAGCACTTCTTAGCATCTAACACCTACGAAGGAACATGATGGAATGAACTCAGCTGAAAAGAAATCAAGTTTATCATGATTACGTATCTAGCCATTACTATAGAGTTTTGGTCCAAGGTTTCCATCATACTCAACTCAAGCTCAACGTAATACAACTACATTAAATTTCAGAACACACTATAAAGGCAGATCCTATGCTTGTGAAAGTAGATTTAAAATGAACATTTCAGCTAACACTAGAATTTACTCTGGATACTGTCATACATACACACATATGTATATATACACACACAAAACAATTATAATTGATTTTTAGTTAAAAGATAAAAGACTGCCTTTTTTTTTCAGTTTAGATTTTTTTGATATAGGGTCAAGAATTGTTGCCTAAAGTAATAGGACTGGGTTGTGAAGTAAAGCACATGTGCAGATTTTTAAATTCGCTTTGGCGACTTTGTCCCAGGTGCTTTCTTAGGCACTAGTGATGCAAAAGCCAGCCTCCTAGATGTCCCTGCTCTCATGGAGCTTATATTCTAGATGGTGGAGTTAGGTAATACACATTGCCAGGTGGTTATAAATAAGAAGTATAAAAAGGGTGGGGAGTACTATTTTAGGAAGTGTCAGAAAAGGCCTCGTTGAGGAGGTGACATCGCATAGGGCTCTGAAGGGAATGAAGAAGCAAACCTCCACTGTGTTGGGGAAGAAGGTTACAGGTAGTGGGAAGAACAGGTACAAAAGCACAGTGTAGGTGCAGGTTTATGCGTGATCCAGGAACAGCTAGGCGGCTGAAGTGCTTTGGCTCTGTGTAGATTGTTAGAGCAGTAGAAAGCCAGAGCTCATAGGGCCTTGCAGACTATTGTAAGAACTTTGGCTTTGACCCTAATTATAAAGCCCCGCAGAATACAAAGCTTGGTTTATCAGATTCTCTCAGAAGATGACATACTGAGTGATAAGGTCTTCTGTTGTCCTGCTTCTGTTTAATTGTTCAGCTTTTTAATTGGAGAATGATTCTTTGCCCCCTCCTTTTTTTATTTTAATAGGAAACCTCCATTTTAGAGGAATATAATATCAATTGGACTCAGAAACTGGGAGCTGGAATTAGTGGTCCAGTTAGGTAAGAGACCCATGTGCAAACTATGACAAAATTGTTCTGAAAGGGCCACTTGAAATACATCTTAAATTAGAAGCATCGGTGGTGCCAGATGTGTGAAATAGTCTTAATTTAACAAGTAGGCATATTTATGTTAGGCTATTTCTCATCTCTTAAGAAATATATTTAAGTGATCAAGTTCCATGGTGTATAACATGGAATCATTTAAGATGTTGATCCTGTGGAGCCACTATGAGTCACCTGGAGCCAGCAGAGGCCATTGTTTCTTTCTCAGCCAGCCTCGAGTTGGTTTCACGTGGCTTAGGAATTGAGGCCTGGGAAGAGGGGATGAGACACTTCTCTGCCTTTCCACCTGCTAGCCTTGGGGACAAGTTTGTTCTGATGCACCCCGATATATCTTTGATCAGAAGTACAGTTCTCAAAGAATAAACTTTAAGTTAGTTTTCACTGTAACATAGGTGATTTCTGATTGAATTTTTCCCTCCAAATATAGAGTCTGTGTGAAGAACTCTACCCAAGAACGGTTTGCACTGAAAATTCTTTTTGATCGTCCAAAAGCTAGAAATGAGGTATGATCCTTTATTGCCTTGACTTGCCTAAATATTTGAAGTGCCTAAGAATTATCCTTTTTACAAGTAGGGCAGCTTCCTGGAGAGAATGCACACAGATGCATGAAGAATTTTTTTTTCCCTTTAAGCTCATACCCCTTTTTCCTATTCATGGTATCATTATAGAAACAGTCCTACATCTTCCAGTACCAAGGGCTGTTGGTAGAGTCTTGCGTCTTTCCACCTCTTGTTCTTTTTCAATTAATGTGATTCTTCTACATTGAAGTATTCAGGTTTAGTTCAGGTTTACTTCCGCTTTTACTTACTGGGAAAAGTCCTCGAAGAGTGGATATAAAATAGTACAAGAAAGGATCTAGAAAGTGTGCTGCCAGAGGGCTCTGAGGATGGGTTTCTAGTTTTTAATTAAAAGCAGACATTTGTTTTAAATTATCCGGACTGGTAATGACATGTTAGTAACAGTGCAGTGAAGGACTTAAAGAATATCTGAAATAAAATAAATTATTTGCTAATTCATTTGCTAATAGATAGGACAGGAGAAAGTAATCTGTTGTTGAGATTTCATTCATGGAAAGGGCATTAAGAACATAATCTGTGTGTGATCCTTCCCCCTTTTAATGTCATTCTAGGTGATAAGGTTTTTTTATTATAATAGGCTTAGCCCCATGTGCGTAGTGTGGTCAGTTTTTTGCAGGGGAGTTTGGACAGAAAATGTTGGCACCCCTATGTACAGAAATATTTCCTCTGTTCTCTTTCAGGTACGCCTGCACATGATGTGTGCCACACACCCAAATATAGTTCAAATTATTGAAGTGTTTGCAAACAGTGTACAGTTTCCTCACGAGTCTAGCCCCAGGTAAGACTACGCGGGGTCATCATACCTTGCCCACCTCTCCATATGTAGGCCACGGTATAGTGGGGTTTTCCTTTCTTTTGTGCCCTCTCTCTCTTCCCCTTCCTTTCCTTCCCTCTCCCTCTTTTTCTTTTCTACATTTCGTTTTGGAAAATTTCAAACATTTGTGAAAGCAGACAGAATTATGTAATGAATCCCCAGGTACCCGTTGCCCAGCCTCAACAGTTATCAACTCATTGCCAGTCTAGTTTCGTCTATACCCCACCCACTTTCCTGGCCCCCCTGATTATTGTGATTATGTTCTTGTTTTTTAAAAAAGCTTGAAATGTGGAATTAAAAAAGATTCTATTTCAAATTAGCAAAAGGGGACCAAATATTATTCTAGGCAATGTCTTAAGAGGTTGATATGGCAAAAAGCCCTATTGCTTAGTCTGACAGTCCTTTTAAAGAAGAAACCAGCATTATTCTTTTAGCTGCCAAATGTCTGACAAGCCCATGGGGTGGCATTCTAAGTCTCTTCTGGGGAATTCAAAATTAAATAAGGTTTGTTTTCTGTTAGGGGGGAATGAGATATAAACCTGTCATCACAGCAATATGATAGGAACCATAAAGTATTTTGAGCTTACAAAGGTGAGCTGCTAACTACAGGCTGGGGAGATGAGTTGTCTCAGAGCAGTTACATGGGAGCTAGGACTTGAAGGGGGGGGTAGGTGGAAGTTTTCCAGGTGGAGAAGATGGATTTGTAAAAACAAATGGGAAATGAAATAATATTTCTTACAACTGTGCTCTGATGGTGAAAGCATTTGGATGGAAGCTGGAAGCTTTAATCAAAGGATGGTATCCAAAATTTAAAAAAATTTTTGACAACATGAGAATTTTTTGCTTTTATTTAGTAGCTGTGTAACCCTTTCCAGCTGTCTTGCTGAGCATGCTGTGGATCACATGAAAAACTAGTGGAGTGAGGGTGGGAAGTAGAGATACACACACACAGTGAGAATGAAAAAACAAGACAGCCCAATACCCAGTCAAATGACTTGAAATTCATGTTCTACACAAAGTCGTATTCTGTCTTCCAACACACTTTTAGTCTAGCTGCCTGAAAATGCATATACAAATTATGTCACTTAAAAGATCATCCCCTCTTTAACATCTGGTAGTAACAGGTTAAGTATAGTGTCCTCAAAAGAATCATTGTCTTCAAAACTAATTCTTTTACTCCCATTTTAGCGTCTTAGAAAGTGTTACTTTAGGGATATTTATTCCTTATGCATAGTGTCCAGTTGGTAGTGACAGGGAGTCCAACTCAAAGGGGCTTGGTGGGACTAGACTTAGGAAGTAGTTACACACTTTGTAGATGAGGTATCTCTTTAGGTTAGCTACTTGATGTTTCAGTTTTTTTTTTAACTTAACAAAATCAAATGCTTTCAAACAGGGCTCGACTCTTAATTGTAATGGAGATGATGGAAGGGGGAGAGCTATTTCACAGAATCAGCCAGCACCGGCACTTTACAGAGAAGCAAGCCAGCCAAGTAACAAAGCAGGCAAGTTAACCCCGGGTACCAATCAAACTGCCAACAATGTTGGTTAACAAGCACAATTTCATTGGGGGGGGGGAATAAAAGAAAGCTTGCAGAAAAGCTCTATTTGATCTCTCATTGCCTGCTTTGTTATGTGATCAGAAAAGATGCCCGGACAGGAGAAATGTCACCCCTTGAGGGGGGCTATATTCTTAAGTGGTTGTCAATTGTTTGCCTATGATAAGCTGTAAATAAACTGTGGAAGGTAATCTTAACTCTTTTGTAGACTGTAGATATCTTTAGACATGGCTTCTAAGCACTGTTATTGGACTTTGAGATAAAATGCTACTGATAGCACTTGAAAGAGTGTATAGTGTGAAAAACGCTCTGACAATTGTATATAAGATATTTTTTGCTTATGAGTGACCTTTCTCTCATTAGATTTTAGTAGTATTATAAGGTCTTTGTAATTCTGGGTTATTCCTGGTTACAGTCTCTATTTTGACATTACATTTTATTGCTAGAGAAATGATTTATGTCACAATAATAGTAGGAATCCAACTGGAAATAACTTCTTGAGGCCAAAAGCTAGAAAAGCACAATTGGTTCTTCATTTTAAAATCCTTCCAAATTTTCCATGAGCATTTCTTTGGTGTTTTTTGTTTTGTTTTGTTTTTTTAAATATACCATGGGCATTTCTTGAGGCCGCCTTTCTGGTAGGGAGGAACTGATACTTGGAATGCTACAACAATTCCATACTGAGAGTTGAAGAATGGGTAGAATTTGCTCTAATTAATTTTAAAAATTATATGTTGTATTTTTCAAATATCAGGACTAAAGGGTGAGTTCTGATAATCTGTAAAACAAAACCCCTTCACATCCACCTAAACAGGCAACACTTCAACAAGTGGGATGAGCACATTGGAACATCAGGTGGAAAAATCCAGTTGGCTGCTTTCCGTTTTTTTTGAAGGCAGAGCCTGAAAGTTGAGCTCCCTGGAGAGCGCAGCGCTCTCCTGAGCCCCGGGTTGGTGTTCATGTCGCTGCCCTGCTGGGTGGCCCAGGCCTGCTGAAGACGGCCGCACAGTGTTTACTCTGCAGTGCTTGTCACCTTGCAGATGAATGGAAGTGGCAGCATTTCATTTTCTCCATTGCGCCCAGGATTTAACCCTCAGTGTATTCTGACAAAGAATCGTTTTCCTGTTGTAGTTTTCTTTTTGTTTAACAAAATACATGTTGCAGGTAAACTGAGCTTAATTCATTTCTATTTCTTGGTAACAAAAGTTTTATTTAATTTCTGCTTTAAAATTGAAGACTGACCATAGTCATAATTGACTTAATTAAGGATCATTTTTTAACATCCTGAGTTCTCTGAACCAGGGGCATTGAAGAGGTCATTCTTCTAAGATGTGGTTGCCCCATTGTGTCCTTTCCCAGATAGCTTTGGCTCTACAGCACTGTCACTTGCTAAACGTCGCGCACAGAGACCTCAAGCCTGAGAACCTGCTTTTCAAGGATAACTCTCTGGTGAGGTGCCTTGCTTTGCTGCATTTCAGCGCTGCCACTCGCAGCACAGTTGAGAAGTGGGTGTTGAGGGATGTGTGTTTGGAGCACTCTGAATCCATAGTGAAGAGGCTTTAGGCCACAGTGCTTCAAGCAGCTTGTTTCCCCTTCTATTCCCTTGCTAGAAGTCCAGAGAAATGCCCCTGGCATGGATAACTTTGGATGACCATGATATGTATTTGTAGGACTTAAGATTTTGGGTATTATTTGGAGGGCCTTTGGGAAGGGGCAGGGATCTATATGCTATTATATATTACCTTAAGACTTAACAGTTGTATTTGCTGTTCACCCAGATAAGGTGTGCTTTTCTCTCCAACCCTACCCCGGTCACCTATACCAGGTCCCATCAGATAAGCTGCTCTATCGGGAAGCTGCTATTAGGACTAAAGCAGCACCCTGGACTGATGAGAAATAATGGGCCAGTCTGTAGAGCCAGGGGTTTTTGTTTGTTTGTTTGTTTTTGTAATTTAGGGCTGCCTTTTTGTAAGTTACAAAACAAGGCTACCTGTGAGTCAGTAGAAATGGCTTATCTCTATCACTGAGAACAATTCCTCAATGTGAATCATTGTCTCCAGTCCTGAGGATATGCTACTCATATCCTCAGGTCTCAACCAGAAACGGGTGAGAGCTCCAGGGAACATGTCTTGCATGGGATTTCCCTTTAATGTCTACTGAGAACTCTGGAGCACTGACTCCCATTTACTCTATTTCAGGATGCCCCAGTGAAGTTGTGTGATTTTGGATTTGCCAAAATTGACCAGGGTGACTTGATGACACCCCAATTCACCCCTTATTATGTAGCCCCTCAGGTAAGCATGCTCTGTTTCTCCCACAGGGTGTATCACCAGGCTGCCTGTGGACTCTCATTTCTGCTCTAGAGCACAAGTAGGCGTATATTACAGATGGGAGGGGGGAGCTCAGCTTCAGAAACCTGCAGGCTGCTTAATTTGGTGTAGGCATTTTATTCTTTTAAAATCAACTTCATTGAGGTATGATTTATGTTTAATACTCCTTCTTTAAATGTAGTTTGATGAGTTTTGACATATTCCTGCATGATCAACATCACAATCAAGGTACAAAACATTTCCATCACCTCAAAAGCTGTCTTGTGTGCCTTTCCAGTCAGCCTGCTTGCAGGCATGAGGGATGTCCCCAGGAAGAAGTCAGTGATCTCAGATGCCTTGATGGGCAAGAAGAAGAGCTAAATCTCCTCCAGGAACCTGATCTGAATGTTCTTGACCTGTACAAGCACTGAAAAATTGCTGGCTATAAGAGGGGGGAAAAACGGTTTTTAAAAGTATTGTCATTTATGTGGAGCTTTTTTGATTGTTGACTGCCAGTATTTACCCTTTTCAGCCTTCAAGCAGTCTGTCTCAAGTTGTGTGTCGCTGGTGTGATTTTCAGTAAACTGTCCCCTTTGGTCTGACTCTGACAGGTACTAGAGGCACAGAGAAGGCATCAAAAGGAGAAATTTGGCATCATACCTACCTCGCCAACACCCTACACTTATAACAAGGTAGGGAAGAGACATTTCTCTTCACCCTTCTGGGCAGCCTCTTTTCTGTGAGGTATGTGGCCCTCTGGGAACATGGCTAATTCCATTCTTGCCCCTTAATAGTCCTGTGCAAGAGGCTGGAAGCAGCTACACATGCAGAAGAGTATTTGGAATTCAAGTTTTTATCTGATGAAATATGAAATAAGGTTCTTATCAATTTAGGTTTGGCAGCAGGAACCAAGGGCTATGGTCACCTATAGGTTATTTGGCTAGCTGTACAGTCCAGTGAACACACTTAAAAGACAGGGTTATCTTTAATTTACTTGCAAAAATCTCAGCATGAATGCAATGAATCCTGCATGATATATTATTTCCCAGTATTTTTTTTTCTTCTCTTCCTGTTCCATTTTGTGAATCTCATGGTGCTCATGAATTAGCATGGCATTCATCAAAATTATACTGCAGATGAGTAACATGTTGAAAACATAAATAGTTCATATTACTTTTGAATGTGTATATATTGGTCTAGATATAAACTTTATATTGACAACTAAATGAACACTGACTGCTACATTGGCAAATAATTTTTAATAAAAATATGTAATAAGATGTAATTAAATTTTTGAAAATTAAATGAATACATCAACCTTAATTTAAAAAAAAGAGAGAGAGGTAGGCCCTGGCCCATATGGCTCAGTTGGTTGGAGCATCATCTTGTGCACCAAAGGGTCATGGGTTCGAACCTTGCTAGGGGCACATGCAGGAGGGAGCTGATTCATGTTTCTCATGCCCCGAACTCCCAAGCTAGATATGTGCCCTTACCACGAATTGAACCCATGGCCTGCTGGTGCACGGGACCAACTGAGCCACACCAGCCAAGGCCAGAGGAATGCTTTTAGACCACCTGTTCCTCCCTCTCCTCTGCTTTGGGCCTTTATGAAATAACTTGTGCTATATTATGGGGTCAGCCTCCCTGTATCTTATCTTCTTTATTCCTGTACCCTCACCCTGCCCAGGTCGAGAGCGTACATGTTTCACAATCAGCTGGCTTATAACTATGACTCTTCTGTCTGGGGACAAAGTATCCTATGGCTATACCCAAGAATTAGAATGCAGCTTGGGCCTAAGTAGTGAGAATAAAAGTGACTATTTATTTTACCCCAGACTGGCCTTGTGTGCTCGTGTGGATCTATGTAGTGCTGGTGGTATATACAAAATACGGAGTGAAAAGTTAGACTTCCTGAAACTTTTCTGGTCTCTCTTAAGTGATTCTTAGATAGATACATCAGCCTGTGTATGTCTGGGCTAGCCCTGGGGACTTTGTTTTGGAGTTGTGCCTCTGCTATGAGTGACCATTTCCTTTTTGCTTTCAGAGCTGTGATTTGTGGTCCCTCGGGGTGATTATCTATGTGATGTTGTGCGGATACCCTCCTTTTTACTCCAAACACCACAGTCGGACTATCCCAAAGGATATGCGGAGAAAGATCATGACAGGCAGTTTTGAGTTCCCAGAGGAAGAGTGGAGCCAGATCTCAGAGATGGCCAAAGATGTTGTGAGGAAGTGAGTCCCTGGGCCACTGGGCGGGGAGGCCAAGGAGGCCTTAAGGTGGTGGAGCACAAGGGAATGTTGGGTAGAGAAAGTCATTTGTTTCCCAGGCATGTTCATTCCTGTTTAGCATCACAGAAATCTTATCCCTGGAGCCTGAGATGAGAGTCTTCAGTGTCCACGCCTCAGTGAAAATGGAGCTTTGCTCCCTCCTGTTGCATTCCTAGAATTTACCCTCAGGGTTGTGAACCCCAGTGTCTGAGTAGCCAGTGTCTCTGTGAGCATAAATTTAGGACCTTAAATGATAATCGCTCCCCCCTGCCCTGTGTGTGCCCTCTTGTATGTAAGTCAGTCATTTGGGATGGACATGACACCAGGAACTGAACTGAGGTGTTAAGATGACGACAGTGCTTTGGCTTTTCATTCCTTGGCTGCTGTGGGAATATGTGACTGATGGTGTGGGGCCTGTGCCCCAGCCTCCAGCCTTCTCACTACTAGTTGGTTGCTCTGACATATATGAAGATGGGAAGGTTAGAAGAATTAGGGCTAATGAGTAGAAGAGGGAGGGTTGGCATTCAGAGTCCTCTGGTAGCTGGAGGACTAGGTAAGACGTCAGACCTAAATTTGAAGTATATGTTGGAGGCTCAGCTGCCTGGGACTTGGGCACTGTTCTGGTATTCCTACTGCTTGGTTGCACTGAGCAATTTTTCCTTTTTTGGTTTCAGTTTCTTCATATGTAATGTGATAAAGATAAGCAATAAAGGGTCAGGTCCTGGGAACTGTCTCCTGATAGTACAGCCATTTCTCTATGGAGATAACTCCCTTTCAGAAGTGAGCTTGTTCTGTTGGTTAGGGGTTTGTGTATATAAAGAGGGACTAGTTTCTAAAACATACAAGTAAAAGTTTTTCGGAGGGTGGAGGCAATGTTTCAATCACCATCTGTCTTCCCATGCTATTCCCACACTGTACTCTCAGCTACTTAACCAAAACATCAATATCCTCTAAGTGGTTCTTTGTCAGTTCTACAGAATATATATTTCCTGTCCCTAGAGCAACATTGATGATCTTCTTTCAGCTTTGGGATTCTTTCCTCATTAATCCTTTCTTTAGAATCTGAAGCTTTTTGTTCAAAATGATTCAGAATCAAAGGGCAGATAGGCATGCTGTCCTGACTCTGACATTTGGAATGGGAGGGTATGTAGTTGGAAGGAGGTGCTGTAAACAGCCCAGGGACCATGGCTTGGGTGAGCTAGGAATTGCATCAGCATGAATCGATAAGATGTAAAGAAACTGGCAATACATTAGGCTCAGAAGGAAATGCCATCCCCTTCTCAGAGACTCTATAGATGTTTAGCTTTTGAATATCTCTGGAATAAAGGGTTCATGTCCTGCCGTATAGTAACATCTGAGAATTTTATCACAAGTAGCAACCTGGTTTTCAGAACCTCCTGACTCTTCAACTAATTTGTAGTCACTATTAGCCAAAAGAGCACTGTCAGTCTGTTTTGGAAATTAGAACTCACTGTCCTAGAAACATCAATATGGAGATTCAGAGTTTCAGGAACTATAAGCTGTATGTAGGATTATTTTATTAAACCTAGAACTTGGTCTGACGTATCACTGGATTAAGCCTTTTCCTACCACTTTTCTGTTTGTACAGATAGAAAGGACCGCCTAAGGACACAGTGCCCTCACAGCTAGTGGTTAGGGACTAGAATCCCACCCCTGCCCTGCAGATGGGAAGCCTAGGCTTGTAGGAGTTGGAAGAAAGTCAGAAACTAGAGCTGGTTGATGCCAGACTCTGGAACTTCCTGGCTTTCTGTAAGCAACTGTGCATGGCAGCCTTGTTGGCCTTTTCTCCACAGGCTTTTGAAGGTCAAACCAGAGGAAAGACTCACCATCGAGGGAGTGTTGGACCACCCCTGGCTAAACTCGACTGAGGCCCTGGATAATGTTCTGCCCTCTGCTCAACTGATGATGGATAAGGTTTTGAATGATGCTTATTCTGTTGGCAGACAAGGCTGTGTTGAGAAGGAATGCTGGGACTTGACTTAGTGAGGGGCTAAAGGCAAAACAATGCAGAGCACACAGTCTTTTCCAGAGAAATATCTCTGGTTTCCTGAAAATCATGATTAGAAATAAAGAACTTCTTTCCATAAGAGACCAGATCAAGGCCTGGTAAATATAGACCAAGGGAACACAACACTCAAAGGAATATCCTCCCTGTGATCAATGTAAAAAACCACCGGACTTCATTAATGGCAAGTCAGTGAGATAGGTGTGGGAGAGCCAGGCTTTGAAAGTAGACAGGGATTTAGTCTTTTCTTAGCAGGATGTAGTCGAGAGGCCATTGTAGACATTTGAGACGATGTTTGCACCAGGAAGGTGTTTAGGAGTGGTCAGCCAGACTCACAGACTTGCCAAGCTAGGACTTCTGCAGTAATCTAGAATCAGGGGTGGCTCTGGGAGCAGAGAAGTAGAGATGAATGAATAGGCTCAATACTTCTGAACTGGATATAAGGGAACAGTGGGTAGCATATCAGGTGGTACCATCAGCAAATAGAGGGGAATCAGGAAGGAGGCTGCTTTGAGTGAAGGGAAGTCTTCTAGGTTTTAGATACTGTTTCAAGTGGTAGATGGACACTCCAAAGAGATGTGTGGTCTGGAATCACAGTGTGGCTGAGGCACAGGCAGTGGCACAGGCTTTGAATGTTTCCCTCTTAAAAGGGATGTGGCTGAAGTGTGACAAAGAATAAGTGAACAGGAAAGAGAATGCTAAGGCCTCCCTTAGTTTACCTGGAATGTGGGAAAGGAGAGCTGGAAGGAACAGAGTTCTCTACCATCTCTGATTTGTGTATGGTTATCTTCCTGGGTCAGATATGTCCGGTAGTGCAGAAATGGTTTGGTCAGTCTGAAATCCAAAGGGGTTATTTAGACTCTCTGGTTGCCAGTACAGGGGGTTTCAGTGTAGTTTTCCTCAAGATCTTGCAAATGAAGAAATAATTGCCTTTTGGAGTTACTTCAGAGTTAATGCACAATGAAGCCAAGTACAGATTTGCAGAATCTCCTTAATGAGAGAGGGGCTCCCAGGCCTGTAAGGCGGAGCTTTTGCGGGGCACTGTACTCCCGTTTCTGAAGAATGACGGTCCCACTGGCCGGTCAGTTCTGGAAGCAGAGAAATGGCCGCATATGCAGATGCTGACTAGTGCCTGCCTGAGCCTTGCCGAGGGGATGGAGCCTGAACTCTCCCTTGAACTGCTCCCATCTTTCTGGTTGGGCTGTCACCAAGGCAGGCAATGTAAGGGTCCAGAGGGGTATAGACAGAGCCAGCTGTTATAGTTCCTATAAACTCTTCTGGATCTAAAAGCATGCTGAACAAGGAACTGCTTTTTCAAATGATCTGATCTTATTGAAATTCAAACAATACAGAGATACATAAAAAGCAAAAGTTCCCTTTCATTTCCTTGCCTTAATCTCACCCCTCAGAGGTGAGGTAACCTAGGGCTTGATGTGTCTTTCCTGATCTTTTTCTGGGGAGACCCCCACACACTCAAGAGTTTATCCTTTCTTTTTAAATACAAAAATGGGATCATCTCGTTCTTACAAAGCTTTCTGCTGAGTATTTGCCTTCCCTCATTGGTCTGCCCATAGGAAGAGCAAGCACTGCTCATAAAGATGCAGACTTCAAGAGTGCTACACTTGGTGACAATTATTTCTCATTGTAATTTAACTGACTGGCTTATAGATCAGTTTTTGAGTGTCTACCACGCTCACTGTGTGAAGTGGTTGGGGTTCCTATCTGCACTGTGGCGGCAATCTGGGAAGCTTCTCGGGCAGTAGCCTGCCAGCCTTTTCCCTGATGTACACGTATGCCTGTCTTTACACTTGCCCTTGCCAATGACTTTGAGCATGAGCCTTGTTAATATTTCTTACTTGCATTTCTGTCCCCTGCAGGAAAAAAGGCCTAGTATTCTCTGGGCCCTGCTGATCCATGGGGAAGAATTCTCTGCTTTATCCAAATTTGTATAAAGCCAGCATAAGAGTGAAATTGCCTTCTTAGTTCTTTGAGTGCCTTCCCACTCTCTTAGATTAGCTTTCTAGGTGCTTAGAAACAAATGTGAAAAACTGATGACAGTGTTTGCATTCAGGCAGTGGTTGCAGGAATCCAGCAGGCTCATGCAGAACAGTTGGCCAACATGCGAATCCAAGATCTGAAAGTCAGCCTCAAACCCTTGCATTCTGTGAACAACCCCATTCTGAGGAAGAGAAAATTACTTGGGTAACTGAGCTTATTTCATCTATTGTCCTTCGTGGTTGGTGTGGCTGAACCAGGGGTCTGCCCAGTTTCTGCCTCTTAAGAGGGTGGGAAGGATAAACTCTTTAGCATCAGAAGTTGGAGATACTCTGTAGTTAATTATTTATCTGAACAATCTGTTGCCTTATGTTTAGAGTTAACATCTGTTGAGAGTTGGTTTTGCGGTCTCACCTTGTTATATTCTCTCTCCCCCAAACTTTTAAAGCACAAAGCCAAAGGACGGTGTTTATATCCATGGCCGTGAGAATGGAGCCGAGGATTCTAATGTTGCCTTGGAAAAGCTCCGGGATGTGATTGCCCAGTGCATTCTCCCCCAGGCTGGTAAAGGTCACACCATTTCCAAATGCTCTGCGTGCCTGTGTGTGCATGTGCATGTGTACACATGCAATTTTAGGTTGTCTGTTTCATCTTTGTGTGTAAGTAAGTCAGTACATTATGTAAATCAGTCTTTACCCACTCAAGAGTGGATAGTGGGAACTCAGAAATGTGGCAAGTTCTACCCTTCCTTTGTTTTTGTGTGACATTTGTAGTTTAGGTTTAATTGCTAGTGTTGGGTGCAGCTTGTAATTTTATATTTTCTTAGTTAATGAGGGCCTGGGATGGAGAAAGGAAAGTGTGGACAGGGTTGGGCTCAGTTCGGGAAGGTCAGGAGACTTTGTTTCCAGAGCCTTTCGAGTACAAGGCTTTACTAACTTGTGACTACCAAGAGAACAGGCTCCAAATTCAGTATCATGGGCAGAGTGACTTATACATGGACTCTTTTCAGAGCTTGCTTTCCTATGTTCCTTCTCCACTCAGTGGGCTGTGATGGGCGTTTCTCAGCAGATGTAAGAGAGCCTTCATGTAGTAGGCCAGAAAACTGTTGCATTGACCTCTCTTCCTAGATTCTTGCATTTTAAGAGAAATCACATATAGTGTACCTCCGATTGCCTTCTAAAGTAAGAAATGAGTGTAGGAGCAAGAAGGTAGCCCTCTCGGCCTTGTTCTTCCTCCGTCTCTTGGTCTATTAGGTTGACCAGAGACCTAAGCTGTTCTTGCTCAGCAATAGTCTGACCCTGCCTATTTCCCATTCCCCAATGTGAAGACTGTGGGGCCATCAGAGGATTTGTGTGAGGCTGTAATAGTAGAAGAGTTTAAAGACCAGAAGTGGTCTATATGTTAAGTAGAGATTAGCAGGGATGGCAGCGTCTGGTGAAGTCTGCACCTTTTATCATCACTTCTCAACAAGCTGGACATCATGTCCTTCCTTCTCTGACACTTGACATCCCGTGATGCTGCGGGGAAATGCAGCTGCTTCTTCATCTTTATCAACAGGAGAGAATGAAGATGAAAAGCTGAATGAAGTAATGCAAGAGGCTTGGAAGTATAACCGAGAATGCAGACTCCTAAGAGATACTCTGCAAAGCTTCAGCTGGAACGGTAGGAGCCTTAACTCTTTCCCCAGGAATGCAGAGAAGTAATTATGTTCAGAACTTGTAGGAATCTCTGGAGCCAATTTTAGTTGAAGTGAGGCCGAAAAGGGAATGGAGTATTGTGGGACCAGGATTAGCTCTACATAACTGCCTGGGCACATCTGGACATCTGGCCCTTTCACTTGTTTTCCAGAGTTCAATTAAATTATGAATTGCAGAGTCAGCACCATACAGCCTCTGGCACATATTGCTTGGGCAAAGAACTCCCTCAGATCTCAGAACTCCTCTTACGTGCCTTAGCTATTCGCCAGATCATTCAGGAGCAGTATACTCTGAAGGAGAGAAACAGGGCAAAATACCAGGGAGCCCACCCTGCTATCTACTTAGCTTAGAACAGTTTTTTTACTAAAGAGTAGAGAGTTGCCAAGTGTGCTGCTTGTTGAAATTTTTTCCCCAGGCAAACAAGGTAGAGATGTATTTCTTGAACTGATTTTTGCATTGTCTTTCTAGTTTAGTAGTCTGAACTAGATTTAAGTTCCAAGGTGCTCCAAGAAGGGAGCAAACTCTTTTAAGTTCATTCCCTGGCTTGGTTCTTGGACATGAGAAATCCAAAGTGATAGTCTAGAGGAAATTAACTTCCTGGATGTTTTTTAAGATTTTGAAATATCAATACAGAAAAGTGATCACATTTGAAGTGTGTGCTATTGATGAATTTTTACAAAGTGAACAATCCCCTATAACTAGCCCCTAGATCTTGTAATAGAACATAGACCCTCTTCTCATCACTACCTCCCTTCCCCAAGGGTCATCAGTCCTCATTGCTAGCGCTATAGATTAGTTTTGCCTACTTTTGTATTTTATATAAATGGAATCAGACAAGTCTGTGTTCTTTTGTGTCTGGCTTCTTTTAGTTAACATTAAATTTGTGAGATTCAACCTTATTGTTGTGTGTAGCAGGAAATCATTCTCATTATATATACATGTATATTCTCAATCTCTGTACACACACATGGGTGGGCAAAAGTAGGTTTACAGTTGTATGAGAAACAGGTCATTATTATTTACTTATTATATTATTTATTTGTATGATTTCTTTTTCTTCCCCTTTTTGTTATTATTTTTTAAAAAATATGTCTTTATTGATTTCAGAGAGAGGAAAAGGAAGGGGAGAGAGAGACAGAAGCATCAACGATGAAAGAGTCATTGGGGATCGAGCCCGCAGCCTGGGCCTGTGCCCTGACTGGGAATCGAACCTTGATCTCCTGGATCCTAGGTCGATGCTCAACTGCTGTGCCACGCCCGGCCGGGCTTGTTATTATTTTGTATCCTCACTTATGACTTATCTTTTAGGTTATGATGGCTGGTAATTTAACCTACTTTTGCCACCCCCCCCCCATGTGTATGTAGACAGTCTCCTCTTGGATATCTGAGTTATTTCCAAGTTTTGGTAATTAAGAAAAGCGCTGCTATGAATGCTCTTGTATATGTCTTTTGAAGACTATTTTGATGAATTCATTTTTCTTACCTCTTACATATCTAGGATTGGATTACTGGTTCATGGAAAAATATGCAGTCATCTGTTTGGCTTTAATGGGTACTGCCACAAGTTTTCCAAAGTGGTTGTTCTAGTTGATACTAGCAGTGTTTGCAGGTTCTAGTTACTCTGCCTCTACATCAACACTTGCTATTTTCTATCTTTTATTCTAGTCATTCTGGATAGATTATACTGGTATTGGAGTATCATTTTACTTTGCCTTTCCCTGATGACTGATGAGCTTTAGCACTTTAAAAATGTTTATTGGGCCCAGCCGGCATGGTTCAGCCGTTGGGCATTGACCTATGATCCAGGAGATTGCAGTTCGATTCCCTGTCAGGGCTCAGTAGGGGACATGCAGGAGGCAGCCGATCAATGACTTTCTCATCATTGACGTTTCTTTCTCTCTCTCTCTTCCTCTCCTTTTTTCTCTTCAAAATCAGTAAAGATGTATTAAAAAAAAAATGTTTATTGGTCACTAGATTTCCTCTTTTGTGAAGTACTTATTGTTTTGCAAGTTTTTCTGTTGAGTTTTGCCTTTGTTATAGATGTGTAGGAGTTCTTTCTGTATTCTGGATATGAGTCCTTTGTCATAGACATACATATTACAAAGATCTTCCTCTTCATAGTTTCCTTCTTTGCTGTTGTGAACATTGGGTTTTTACTGCTAGGTTAATGGAACTGCTCAATTGCTACTTGCAAAATAGGGGGTCTGAATTGCTTTTCATCAGTCTTGGGGAGGGTGACCTGGACACTGGCAAGGTGTACCTTTTTGGGTTCCTGTCAAGAACCTGTTTCCTCCCAGTTTGGAGATTGACCTTTTTCTTTCTTGGGTTTCAGGTCGTGGATTCACAGATAAAGTAGATCGACTAAAGCTGGCAGAAATTGTGAAGCAAGTGATAGAGGAGCAAACCACATCCCATGAATCCCAATAATGACAGCTTCAACCTTTGTTTTTTTACAATTTGAAAAACTATTCTTTAATGTATAAAGTAATTTTTATGTAAATTAATAAATCATAATTTCATTTTCACATTGCTTAAAGATGCTGTATAGATTTAGATATGGTATTTACTGATGATATAATTCATTTGTTTTTAAGAAAAGCTCAGTTTCTAGAGATATATACTATTACTTTAGGACTGTCTAGTGTTTGTAAGATGACAGATATTATATCAAGCAAGATTGTTTTATTTGTAATAAAGTATATAAAAACCACTTGTCAGCGGTAGACCAACTATACTGATCTTTCTGCTTAGTAAACAGCTGAATCAAATACTGTGGAATTTGGTTTCAATTGCCCTGTGTATTTACTTTCTGCAGTATTGGTAGATTTGCTCTGATGCCAAGAAATGTTTGTGGATCCATGTTGCAGACGTCTGCTGAAACTCACAAGATGCCATCTCCCATGATACAAGAGGCAGGGAGCTGAGCTGTCATTTCTGTTGTCCTTAATTCCCAAGAGAAAAGTGGTAACACTTTTTTTGGTCATATTTGTTAAAAGGTATTGGCGTGATTCTTAAATCTAATGGGTTCTCTTTTGAGTTTATTCTTTCTGTTTAATCAGAGTTTCAGTCTCCTTCCCGAGACCCCCGTTCGTCCTCTGCTTCCTGGCAGCCCCACCAGCTCCCTTGCGTATTTCCGTCCCTGCTCTCCCGGCCCTCATGGGATGGTTTTTCTGAGAAGGTTACGTTTCATGAAAAGTGGACCATTGGACTAGCACCTGAGATGGTCCAGTTTTTATTTTGTTTTCTCTTACAGCTGCCCTTTTTCTCGGTAATGTCCCTGCCGAGCTTTCACGTGGGCATCCTCTGGGCTTCCTTTATTTTGTTCTGCCACCTTCATTTTCAGGAAGCATGCCTCTGGCCTAGTGCAGCTGTTTGAACAGAAATCAAGGCTGGGTGCTTTTCTGTTTGTTTTTTTTGTTTTGCAAATGGACTTCCATAACAAACCATGTTTATTTAGTTATTTTTTTTAGCAGTTTAGCTGTGTTCTTAAATAGAAGAGCTAATAGGCAAACTCCAGATTGAAGAGCAGGGGAAAAAGGTCAGTAGGCTCAGATACTGAGTTTTATTCCATCGCATTTTCGATCAAAAGCCGTCCCACAAAGCTAACCTATTTTCTGAGTATGTCATCAAGGTGACATTTTGTTAGTATACCCCGTATATGTATGTTACTCTGGAAATATATGATGATAATACAAAGTATCTTTTAAGAATTACCTTTTTATATTGGTTCCCTTTTATCTTGGGTAATTTATAGTTATTTTTTGAGGTAAGATTAATATTAGGTGAATGGATACCCTGGAAGGAGCATTCAGTACTTTTAAAGATGGCAAAACTTAAGTTAGGCAGCAGAGAAAAAGTTTTCTTACTTACTGACCAGAAAACTTAGCTAAAAGTTGAATTAAGGGTTGAATTGTATTATTCTATTTTTCAGTGAAATTCAGTCTTAAACTCACTTCTTGCAGTCAGGAAAAACTGCACTTGTTTCTAGAACTACTGACCACCTGTTGTTTTACTTATGGCAGGACACAGGTTCAGTCTTCATTAGGGACAGAAGGCAGTAATAACTTTGTTACTTTTTCTTCAGAGTAACTTCCTAGCATTCCCAGTCTACCATGAACTTTTCAAATTTGTTGTTTAGGTGTCTTCTAATGGCTCAGGATGACTTTTTCTCTTCAGTGTGTGGTGAATTTTAGGCATGATCTAAAAGGGTATCCAAAATGATGCTCCTATTTACTCTGAATAGCAGTTGCCCATGTATTAGTTGTTCAAAGCTGAATTAATCTGGCCCCCAAAATGTGTAGTCTCCAGACATGTCCAGATGAGCCCTAGGCTGGAAGTTGGTGAATACCCTGTAGGATGCACCAGCTGTTGTAACTCAAAAGTGGGTCCTACCTTGGCCGGCATGGCTTAGTGCTTGGAGCATCAGCCTGCACACCAGAGGGTCATGAGTTCAATTCCCAGTCAAGGGCGTGTACCTGGGTTCGAGGTTCAGTCCTTAGCCTGGTCGGGGTACATGCTGGAGGCAACTAATCGATGTGTCTCTCTCACATCGGTGTTTCTCTCTCTCCGCCTACCCCCACCCCTTCCACTCTCTAAAAAAAGAAAATCAATGGAAAAAGATATCCTTGGGTGATAATTAGCGAAACAAAAAAAGGGGGTCCTACCCTGGACCCTGGATAGAGCTCCTTGACCAAACAATAGCTCCCAAAAGACTCAGCACTGTTTGGTGTTCAGAGTGGAGTTTTCCCTGTGGAGTGGGTTTGTAGGTCAGTAGCAAGTCCTGCCCTAACATACTGGTCAGGTCCCCTGGTAAAGCAAAATCTGTGCGTAACTGAAAGCGAGACAAATAGCACTCTTATCTTTCCTGGCCTGTTTCTCTGATGCCTGAACCTGCAGAAAGTTCACACTTAAGAACAGTTCTTACAGGCAGGAGGTTAGAGTCTCCAGTTTTGCCACATGACTTGCTAGCCTCTGCTTAATAAAACCATTACTTATCACTCAAATACCTTTAGACATTACCATAATTATAAATCTGCTCAATGTAAAACACCTTGTATATCTTTTTGGCTAACACTGTATAAGCATAGGAGAAATTTATTGTTTGAAACAGGAGGAGCTGCTTTTTAGTTTTGTTCTTGTATGTATTTGAGAAAGAATATGTTGAAGAAATTATTGGTTAAAGTAGTAGTCAAATGATTTAAATGAGATCTTGTGTATGAATGCTTGTGTGTGTGTGCTATTTATTGAAGGAAATGTGTTTGTGTTTCAATTTGAGAACTGGAAAATTGGATATTTAATTTTAATTATATATTTTTTTATTTAAAAAATAGAGGTTTTCTTTCATTGATTTAATTATTTCATCCTACAAAATGGCAATCTAATTTGCCTTGCCTATTTTGGTTAAGACACAGAGAAATACCTTAAATCTGACAATTTCTAAATTACATAATTTTAAGAGGATTTCCTCTTATATAAACTACAAGGAGAGAAGAAATCCAGCTAGAAATCATTTCACCTTTTTTGCTGTAAATTTTTAAAATAGATTTGTGATATGATAGTATACATTTTCTTGCTAGATGCCAGTGCTAAATTTTATCATCTATATTAGGAATTAAATATTAATTGCGGGTAGTTAATGAATTGATCTGCTCATGCTCATATCTGAGATCTTGTGGTAACCTATCTTTTTTTTTTTAAGACATATCTTTATTGATTTCAGAGAGAGGAAGGGAGAGGGAGAGAGAGAGATAAAAACATCAATGATGAGAGAGTCATCATTGACTGTCTGCCTCCTGCACTCCCCCTATTGGGGATCGAGCCCACAACCCGGGCAAGGGAATCGAGCCTTGATCTCCTGGATCCTAGGTTGATGTTCAACCTCTGAGCCATGCCCGGCCGGGCCCTATCATTTAATTATATAAGGTAGTTCCCCATTTTTTAGTTAAACTTGTACTCAACCCTTATTTTATATTGTAAATACAAAACTTAACATAACTTTTATGCAAGGTAAAAGATCTAGTCTTATTTAACTTCATCTTAGAATGCACAGGAAATAACTGGGCAAGGGATGTGGATAAGGCTTTTCCCCACCTGTTTTTCCTTTTAAATTTGTACTGCTGAATATACCAGGAAACTGACATTAAAACCAAATCTGAGCCCTGGCCCATGTGACTCAGTGGCTGGAACACTGGCCCTTGCACTGAAGGGTCCCAGGTTCGATTCCCCATCAAGAGCACATACCTGGGTTGTGGGTTTGCTCCCTGCCCCTCGTCAGGGTGAGTGCAGGAGGCAACCAGTCGATGTGTCTCTCACATATCAATGTTTCTCTCTCTCAGCACTCCCTTTTAAAAGGTCTTATAGAGTTCACTTTTATTTTCTTAATGAAATGGTATCTAGGTACCTGGTTAATAATCAGCTTGTTTATATGTTGGGACAGTTGGGAGGAATTGAACTTTGATCCTAGTCACTTAAAATACCTTCATGGTGAAACTGAGCTCATTTCATTTAATACTTAACATGTCTCTGTGTTAGAAAAACTTCTTAGAAGATAAAAATTATATTTACATTCAGATATAAAACGTCTAAATTCATCTGTTATGAACAAAGGTTAATGAGGGAGAATTTGTGCATCTGCATATGATTTTTTTTTTAAAATTAAAAGCAAAAAACTGATACTGACAATGAAGGGTTAGACTGAGAAATGGTACCCTGAATTACAACAGAAATGAGGAAAAGTGGTAGTGGGCAACAGAGAACTCTGTCCTGCTTATAGATCCCCAAAGAATCTCTGTCCCCTCCCCCCAGCCTCCTGCCAGAATGTTGGGTTTCAAAGAATGAGCAGATCAACTGATATCAGGGAGTTCTGTGGCCTGGACGGAGGATGAAGGTAACTTGCCAGAGTTAAAGTACAGGCTGAATCATTACAGACCTTCTATTTGGTATATGTCTCTGTGAGGGTAAAGACAACTTGGCCAAGGAGCATTAAAGCTGTTCCTGTTTGAACGAAGTCATGTAGTAAGGAAAGTACTGAAGATCAAGAGGGAGGCAAGAATATAAACACAGCCTCAAAGTCCATAAGATTCAGAATTGGGAAGCAGTCACCCATAAGGGAGCCAGAATAGATCTGAGTCTCCAAGGTTCAGCATGCCAGGGAGAGCTGCTGCTGATGGACACAGGCCCTGCATCATCAACTGATTCACTAGGGCCATGTCAGTGGACGCCTCTGTGAGAGGCTCTGCCTCTGTAAGGCCTTCTCTATGGAAAAACCAGGAGGCCTTGAAAACGGGTAAGACAAAGTTTCAGACTTGGGCTCAGCAGAAGAGGGGCTTAAGGCTGGGGCCAGTTGCAGGATCTTCATGTGTCAGGTTAGTGGTCGTGCTGGTGTTGGTACTGAGTTTCCTGCCCAGCTTGTACTGTGACCTGGGATCAGTATATTACTCATCCTATGAAACAGTCATCCCCAAGGCTCTGACAGTTGAGGGAAGGGAAGGCCCAGTGGAAAGGGCATCTTATGTGATATTTATGCAGGGCCAGGAACAGCTGATCCACCTGAAGGTGAAGAGAGACTATTTTATCAATAACTTTCCAGTCTTCAGCTACCACAATGGCATCCTGGGACAAGAAATGCCTTTCATCTCACATGACTGTCACTATGAAGGCTACATAGAAGGAGTCCCAGGTTCTTTTGTCTCTGTCAATGCCTGTTCAGGCCTCAGGGGCATCCTGATTAAGGAGGGAAAATCCTATCGCATTGAGCCCCTGGACTCTTCAAAAGAGTTTGAACATGTGTTGTACACCATGGCACATCAGGCTCCAGTCTCCTGCAGTGTCACTTCCAAAGACAGTCAAGTGGTGTCCACCAGCCAGCAACAAGGGAGCAGTAAGCCTCGCGGCCTACAGGCGATGTCCTACTTGTGGTCACTGATCAAGTACGTGGAGATGTTTGTCGTGGTCAACAACCAGCGGTTCCAAATGTGGGGCAGTAACATCAATGAGACGGTCCAGAGAGTAATGGACATCATTGCCCTGGCCAACAGCTTCACTAGGGGAATAAACACAGAGGTGGTGCTGGCTGGAATGGAGATCTGGACCGAGGGGGACCTCATAGAGGTCCCAGTGGACCTGCAAGTTACACTCAGGAATTTCAACAGCTGGAGACAAGAGAAGCTCCTCCATCGTGTGAAGCATGATGTTGCCCACATGATTGTTGGACAGCATCCTGAACAGGGTATGGGACAGGCGTTTCTCAATGGTGCCTGTTCAAGTGGTTTTGCAGCAGCTGTTGAATCCTTCCATCATGAAGACGTCCTCCTGTTTGCAGGGCTCCTGGTCCATGAGCTTGGGCACAACTTGGGTATTCAGCACGACCACTCGGCCTGCATTTGTAAAGATAAACACCTCTGCCTCATGCATGAAAATATCACTAAAGAAAGTGGCTTCAGCAACTGTAGCTCTGACTACTTCTACCAGTTCCTCCTGGAACACAGAGGGGCCTGTCTATTTAATAACCCTCAGCACAAAGGCCGCTTGCGTCGGGATGTCACGTGTGGTAATGGTGTGGTGGAGGGTAAGGAGCAGTGCGACTGTGGTCCTGATTGTGCTAATAACCGATGCTGTGACAGAGCATGCAGGCTGAAGGATAGTGCAAAGTGTATTCCTGGACCTTGTTGTAATATTGATTGCAAAATTGAAGCAAAGGGCACCAACTGTCGTCCTGCTATTGACGACTGTGACCTCCCAGAGTATTGTGATGGTACCTCTGCAGAGTGCCCGGCAGACAGCTATAAGCAAGATGGTACATCATGCGGTAGACTTCACTATTGTTTTGGGGGTCGGTGTAGGAACCCTGATAATCAGTGCGTGGCTATATATGGGTACAATGCACGGTCTGCCCCAGAAAACTGTTACATTTCAATAAACAGCAGAGGGAACCGGTTTGGAAACTGTGGCCATCCTACCTCGGCAATGCCAAGATATGTTAAGTGTTTTGATGATAATGTATTTTGTGGGAAAATTATATGTACAAATATTAGAGAGGTAGCACCGATCAAATCCCATCACACAATGATCCAGATTCCCTATGAAGGTGACTTCTGCTGGAGCATGGATTCCTATAACACCACTGACGTCCCTGACGATGGAGATGTACACTCTGGCACTGCCTGTGCCCCAAACAAAGTCTGCATGAATTACTCCTGCCTTGATGATGCTGTGCTCAAGTATGACTGCAAACCAACAGAAATGTGTAATGGGAGAGGAGTCTGTAACAATTTAAAGCACTGCCATTGTCAGGCTGGCTATGCACCCCCCGACTGCAGAACTCCTGGAAATGGGGGTAGTGTGGACAGTGGTTCTCCTGACAAAACAACTGATGAAAGTCTAGGTGCAGAAGAAACTGGCAGTCCTCGTCCACGTAAGAATGAGTTTCAAGGTTATGGCCCTATAGTTTTCATACTCCCTTCCTTTCTTTTACTATTACTGATTGTATTAATATTTTGCATTAGTCTTAATGCTGGAATTGAGTCAGTAGAGACTCCAGGGGCCTCACCATCAGTGAGCTCAGAGGAATCCTCTGTGGAATCAGACATGCTCCCAACAGAATTGGAAGTACAGGAGGGCGTAGAGGAGGGCGCAGAGGAGGCCCCACCACCAGAGGAGGCCCCACCACCGGAGGAGGCCCCACCACCGGAGGAGGCCCCACCACCAGAAGCCCCACCACCGGAGGAGGCTCCACCACCAGAGGCCCCACCAGAAGCATAAGAAGTAGTAGCAGGTGAAGCACAGAAATGACCAAAGGCAGAAGAGTAGTGGAGGAAGAAGCCAAATAATATCAAGTACCTCAAACACTGAGTAGGAATGAGAGGGTTAGAAAGGCAAAGATGAAGTGAGAATTGATGGCTGCAGTGGCGCTGATGGGACTATATAGGTCTACAGGAACACGAATGTGGGAAGAGAGAACTGCTTTCAATATTTACTTTAGTAACGATTATATATTCATGCATGAAATCATACATGAAATATTCTGTATTTTTGCTTTTTCCCATTTCATGAAACTACGTTTTTCTCATGGATCGTTGCTATCAATGTCTCATTTCATTTAGGCCACTTTTTAATCTGAAATTATTTTTCAGGGCATACCATCTTCCATCTACATTGTTTGACATAATGTATTATCTTTACCTATGTTACTACCATAAAATTATTCAACCCAGTGGCAACAATGCATTATTTTAGGATCATTATCTATTGAGTACTCTGATTTGCCCTAACCGCTTCTATTCATGAAAGAGGTAATATAAAATAAGTAAATAAATAATTTAAAAAAGGTTATTTTCAGATGAAGCATCACTTCAGACTCCATGCAGCCTAGTACTTGGGGTTTATTTTGGGCTTTCTGGAAGGGGTTATATCTGATCCAGGGTGGTCGGATCACCCCGGGGTCTGGGACAACTGAGGTAAGTGCTGATATCATATTTGAAGTATTTGTTTTTTCCTTAAGTTTTTCCTTTAATTCTATATTGAAGTTGATATTTTGTCTACTGACAACTCATGGGAACATTTCCAATACAGGTAAGAATACTTTAGTGTGGTAGTTACTTGTTAAGAGAGCACAAAGTACAGGCAATAATATTACCCATTCTGTGCAAGACACTGTGCTAAATAGACACTTTACATTTGTTGTCTTAATTTAATCCTCTCATTCACCCTGTGAGATCTTCATCTCACGGAAACAGACCAGAGTCTTGCTCTAGAGTTGCTATGGAGTGGCACCTGCATCCCACACCAGGTATGACTGAACATACATTCCCCACTGCCTCATTACCTTTTTCCTTCAGTAAGGGGAAAAAAGTGACCGGGGACACATTTGGTATTCTTGCTTATCTACAACATGGCTTCTTCCTTGGTGACTCCAATGAAACAAAAGCCACACTGTGTAACTGTTACAGGTGAAAGTGTCTTTTCCCCCAATACATTCTGACATCTTGGGAGTGGCAGGTTTGTATCTTGCTCAGCTCTGAGGGCCTAGCTGATTATAAGTGCTCAGTAGATGTTGACCAAGTGAAAGATTTAACCAGAGCCAACCTTAAGATAGGAAGGTAACGTCTATGGATGCCATGGATCCCATGGATCCCATGTGCTAGGTCCAGGCATGGCACAGCCAAAACCTTGCTCAGGTCCAGTACAGGTTGAGTCTCACAGAAATTCCTGAACATCAGTCTCTGATGATCCATGTGCTGAGTCCCTCTTCTAACTGCCCACCCTATGTGAGTAGAAAACAGTGAACAAAAGAACAAGGCTTGGTTTCTGCTTTCAAGAAGCTTATGTTAAATATTTTGGTGAAACAAACCTAAACTTCAGAACAAAATCCAAAATCCAAAGCCTTCAGTTATGTAAGTTTCCAAGTCACGAGATCTGCTGGTAACCAAATCTCAGAATGTCGTATGCCAGAGATCAAGATTCATGGGGAAAACACACTAGTGGTTGTCACCTGAGAGCTCTGAGAACAAAGATGAAACTGGATAACTGAGGGCCTCCAAATGTAAACTTGTCATTAGAGACTTGAAAAAGACGCGGAGGATTTCTGCTGGAAGCACTTTGGTGGAGAACAGAAGGGGTAACCTTTCTGACTGCATCCACATGCTGATGGTGACTATACTAAAAGCTAATATCACATATTTTAGAAACTTATCAGAATCATGATTTAGGCACAGGGTAATCATTCTTAGCTAATTTAATGGCATTTTTTTAGGACCAAAAGTCAGGTAGATAATTAGGAGTCAGTCAAAGAAACTTATTTTGGGTTTCACAATATTTGACAACAAAACTTAAAAAAATTTAGCAAATATAGAAGTCATTTAGGCAATTTTTCATTGCTGTCCTTATGATTGACCCCCAGGTGTACAAGATGAGTCTAAAAGCAGGAAACAGCTTTTTGAATGAACATCCTCTGAAACAGTGACAAACTTGGACATATTTATACATTGCAAGGTGACTCTTAAAATGTGTGGAATCCCCAAGCTCCAGGGATCAACAGTTGAAAATTTAGGATAGACTATAACAGGGAAGTGGCCAATTTTTAAGTGGGCAGGAGAGAGAAGGTAGGAGATGGATCTGAAAGCTCCAGGTTTGTGGGTCACTGTTCTGTGTTGTATGGAGCTGTGTCTATTCAGTGCAGCTCTTTTGCCTGATTCCTCTCTCCACTGTTTCTGGGAGATTCTGAGGGGTGCTTGCTTACAGGTTTCAAGAATCTGTGCTGGTAGTCTCTTATGACCCATCCAGCTGCTGTCCCGGGAGATTCTGACAGTGACTACTTGCCATCCTTAACCTGCCTTCCCTGTCTTCTCTGCTCCGTCAGGCCAGCGAAAACCCAGGCCCTTCTCTTATTCCCCAAAGCACAGTAGACTTTTGTCCAGATTTGGGGAAACAAAGGAAAATCACAATGTAGAAAAAACAAATTTGGTGTTGCCAATATTGTTCCTGGAGTCCAGAGGTCATGACCCTCCCTGAGAGACTTGGACAGGTCCTCTTTCTTTGGTGTCCCCAGCCTGACATCTTTTCTTGTCTATGTAGGACATGCTGCTTTTAGGAATGTCCTCATAACCTGCAGTCAAACTACACTCTCTTCTTTGGGACTCAGTGGAAGGAGAAATAAAAGATTTACGTTAAACAAAGGTGACATTATCAACTTCACAGGAATGCTAAAGTTTTACATTATAAAGTTGCAAACTTTTTTGAAAATGTAGTCAAAATATTTCAAAATTCCTGTGTTTATGAACTTAATTTCAGAACAGAATTTTGGTGTTCCATTGGGCAAATATGCTCACTGAGATATTTTCTCAAAAGCAAGATCAGACTTCTGACAAGAATGTTTGCAAAATGCTGGCTCTTTAAAATTAATACTCCCCCTGCTTCCGGATATTAAGCTTTACATTTTTTAAAGGTGTTTTTATTGATTTTTAGAGAGGAAGGAAGAGAGAGAGAAAAAAACATCAATGTGAGAGTGTAATATCAATCAGCTGCCCCCTGAATGCCCCCTACTGGGGATGGAGCCTGAAACTGGCAAGTGCCCAGAATGAGAATCAAACTAGCAACCTTTTGGTGCATGTGACGATGCCCAACCAACTGAGCCACACCAGCCAGGGCGAGCTTTACAGTTTTTAGAACTATGGAAGAATTTTTTAAAAATCCAATACACTTTTCTTATTTAATAAAATTATGTAAGTCTTGCATGAGGTTGTACTAGAATGAAATATATGAGGACATGAAGTTCTTGAATCAATTTGTGAACAGTGGCTCCTCAGTTAGAAAATATTTGTTAAATTATTTATGATGAGAACATTAGAGGTGGAATCATGACCTGCCAAGTGTTTGCAACCTCATGTCTGTTTCATTGCTATAATCTAACTGGGCTCTCTAACATCCTTACTTTCATGTCAATGTTTCTCTCCCCCCTCCGGCTCCCTCTGTCCCTTCTTCTGCCTTTCTCTCTCTAAAAATCAATTAAAAAATCTCTTTTAAAACAGTGAAAAGACAGTACACAGAATGAGAGAAAATATTTCGAAACCATATCTGATAGGGACTAGTACCCAGAAAATATTAACGAGCTTTGCCACTCAACAAGAAAAGAACACCCAATTTTATAAGGGCAAAGGATGTAAACAGACATTTCTACAAAGTAGATATAAATGACCAAAAAGAATATGAAAAGATGTGTAACAGCGTTAATTATTAGGGAATTGCAGTTGAAAACTACAATGAGATACTACTTCATTTCCACTAGAATGGCTATAACAAAAAACCCAGACATTCAAAAGTGTCAGTGATAAGGAGGAACTGGAATCCTTACCCACTGCTGGCAGGAAAGTGAAATTGTGTAGCTGCTTTGGTAACAGTTGGGCAGTTCCCCAGGAGGTTAAACATACGTTATCACATGACCAAACAATTCCACTCCTGTGTCTACCCAAGAGAAATGAAAACATGTCCATGCAAAACTTGTACTCAAATGTCCATAACACTATTATTCATAATAACCCCAAAGTAGAAACAACCAAACTGTTCATCAACTGAGGAATCAAAAAATAAAATGTGGTATATCCATACAAAAAGAACATTATTTGGCCAAAAAAAGAGAAAGTATTGATGCAAGCCACCACATGGCTAATCCTTGGAAACATTACACTAGGTGAAATAAGCCAGTCACAGAAGATTATCACATGTAGGATTCCACGGCTATGAAGTGTCCTGAATAGACAAAATCATTGAGCTAGAGAGTAGAGTAGTGGTAGCCATGAGCTACAGGGAGGGGAGAGTGGGGAGGGACTGCTAACAGATACTGGAGTTTTGCTTGGGGGTGAGAAATGTTCTAAAATCGATTTGGTGGCAGTGGCATAATTTTCTGAACACACTACAAATCACTGAGATGTACACTTTAAAGGATGATTATTATGGTATGTGAATTATATCTCAAAAAAGGTGTGATTAAAAGGCAAATAAAATAAAATTACATTAATTCGGAGATGCATGTTTAGGAAGTAAATTGAGAAAGAAAAGTGACAAAGTAGCCACCACAAAAGACAGGGTCATGATTATCCGTGAAGCAGGAAGACCTGTGATTGGCAATGGCACTTTGGTGACGTCTATGGAGCTAAAACTGTTATTACTTGATCAGAGTTGTATTTACACAGCTCTCTCGCTCCTCTCTCTCCCTGTCTCTCCCTGCTCTCAAATATTCATAACATAAAATTAACAGTATTTACCACTTCTAAGTGTGCAGTTCAGAAGCATTAGGTGCATTTACACTGTTGTGCAACCATCGTCACCACCCACTGGGAGCTTTCTCATCGCCCAAACTGAGACTCTGTCTTCATTAAACAGCCCTATCACTCTTCCCAGCTCCTGTACCCTCCGTTTCACTTCCTGTCTCTCTGGACTTGACTACTCGAGGAACCTCATATAAATTAAGTCAGAGCGCATCTGTCCTTTTGTGTGTGGCTGAGCTGTTCTCTTTTAAATAATTTACTAAAAAGCATTTATGTTTTACTCACATTTTATGACTGTGCTATGATTCAAAATTTAGATTTCAGAAAAGAAAAAAGTAGTGACGCAAATTGGAACACAATGCATATATACTTTCAAAGAGGTTCATTCTGTATGAAACAGGAGAAATTGGATGGCGACAGGAGAGTGATGTGGGCTGAGAGTGATGGTTTGACAAAGATGAAACATTACAGCATATAATGAGACTGGATCCAAAGGACAAACAGATGTTTCAGATATAAAAGACAGAAGGGACACTTGGAAAAGTGAAGTCCATGAGAAACTGAAAGGGAAGTAGGAGGATTGGCCTTAGACTGGAGTATGGACAGTTCATCCACCAGAGTCAGAGGAAAACTTAGATACAGGTGGACTCATGTGGTGTCTACATGGGAAAGTATTCTTGATTGCTTTTATTTTTCTCAAGTGCAATATGACGCACGAAGACATTAGGAGAGTGAGCTGACCAGCAAAATGTAGGAAGAGGGAGGTACATTTTGAGGTCATGAATGCCCCATTCGTCAGCATCGCTGTGGGTGTTTCTAGGGACACTTTCAGCCTTTCGGAGCAGGCATGAAGCAAGCACAAACACATTAACATACAACAGATGAGACGTCACAGCACCCTTACCTGGGAGTCATTTATTCATTCAAGAACTAATTCTAATTCACCTACTCTTGAACCTGGGCACGTCAGGATGAACAAACAGAAGTGGGCACTGGACACATGTAGGTCATTTTCTAACACAGGGGAGACTTCTGGGATACTGGCATCATTTTAGGATACCAGTATGTCAGGGCCATCCAGAGAGGGGTGTGGACCTGGACTTATCAGCCAACGTGCCCATGAAAATCACACATATGGGAAGACTGCTCTGTTGGCATCTCCCATGCACATTTTTGGACAGAATTATAAACAGAACTCGAGCGCCTGAATTTTGATGCTGTAAAAAAATAGGAGTCTTGTCCCTTGCCCCATGGTCACAAGCCCATTTGGGTCTACCTTGCGGCACAGGGCAACCACCCCCTTGCCTTATCTAACAGTCTGGCCTGTGAGATGTACATATCACTATAAAGCCTCACTGAGGGATCAAGAACATCGTGAGTTGTGATGCCCATGTGTTACAGAGCAAGAGTTTTAGAAGAGGGGCAAAGGGCAATGGAGTGTGCCCACCAATGATCTCCAAGCACCCTGGTCTGGAACATCAGGAGTTGGCAGAGCAACGGACACAGGAGGGGTGGGGGAGGGGCGAGATGTTAGAGTGGCACAGTTGAGGAAGGCAGGGGGGTTTTCTTTCCTCTCTCAAGGTACAAACCTGCATTTTAGAGTTTGCAGCCCTTCTTTGTGATTACATCACCACAGTATCAAAAGGACTTTAGCCAAGGATCACTGAGGCCAATGCTGTGGAAGGAAGCCACAAAAAGGACACTATCCGCAGGATAACAGATCAGAGAGACTAAAAAGGACACAGCCAGAGGTAGGCAGTTGTTCTCAGAAGTAGGCAGTAGCCACCCTTTATGCAGCCAGCATACACCTGGAGCTAATCCCTGTGACTAAGGGTCTGTGTGTCAAGGAGAGCTGCTGCTGATGGACACGGGCCCTGCATCAGCCACTGATTGACTAGGGCCATGTCAGTGGGCACCTCTGTGAGAGAGACGGCCTCCTCCTTTCCTTCTCTACAGAAGAAACAAGTGGTTATATATGAGACTAGCAGAGTGCTACAGACTTGGGCCCCCCAGATGAAGGGCTTGAGGCTGGTACTGGTGCGAGCGTCTTCACGTGTCAGGTTGGTGATCATGCTGGTGTTGGTACTGAGTTTCCTGCCCAGCTTGTACTGTGACCTGGGATCAGTATATTACTCATCCTATGAAATAGTCATCCCCAAGGCTCTGACAGTTGAGGGAAGGGAAGGCCCAGTGGAAAGGGCATCTTATGTGATATTTATGCAGGGCCAGGAACAGCTGATCCACCTGAAGGTGAAGAGAGACTATTTTATCAATAACTTTCCAGTCTTCAGCTACCACAATGGCATCCTGGGACAAGAAATGCCTTTCATCTCACATGACTGTCACTATGAAGGCTACATAGAAGGAGTCCCAGGTTCTTTTGTCTCTGTCAATGCCTGTTCAGGCCTCAGGGGCATCCTGATTAAGGAGGGAAAATCCTATCGCATTGAGCCCCTGGACTCTTCAAAAGAGTTTGAACATGTGTTGTACACCATGGCACATCAGGCTCCAGTCTCCTGCAGTGTCACTTCCAAAGACAGTCAAGTGGTGTCCACCAGCCAGCAACAAGGGAGCAGTAAGCCTCGCGGCCTACAGGCGATGTCCTACTTGTGGTCACTGATCAAGTACGTGGAGATGTTTGTCGTGGTCAACAACCAGCGGTTCCAAATGTGGGGCAGTAACATCAATGAGACGGTCCAGAGAGTAATGGACATCATTGCCCTGGCCAACAGCTTCACTAGGGGAATAAACACAGAGGTGGTGCTGGCTGGAATGGAGATCTGGACCGAGGGGGACCTCATAGAGGTCCCAGTGGACCTGCAAGTTACACTCAGGAATTTCAACAGCTGGAGACAAGAGAAGCTCCTCCATCGTGTGAAGCATGATGTTGCCCACATGATTGTTGGACAGCATCCTGAACAGGGTATGGGACAGGCGTTTCTCAATGGTGCCTGTTCAAGTGGTTTTGCAGCAGCTGTTGAATCCTTCCATCATGAAGACGTCCTCCTGTTTGCAGGGCTCCTGGTCCATGAGCTTGGGCACAACTTGGGTATTCAGCACGACCACTCGGCCTGCATTTGTAAAGATAAACACCTCTGCCTCATGCATGAAAATATCACTAAAGAAAGTGGCTTCAGCAACTGTAGCTCTGACTACTTCTACCAGTTCCTCCTGGAACACAGAGGGGCCTGTCTATTTAATAACCCTCAGCACAAAGGCCGCTTGCGTCGGGATGTCACGTGTGGTAATGGTGTGGTGGAGGGTAAGGAGCAGTGCGACTGTGGTCCTGATTGTGCTAATAACCGATGCTGTGACAGAGCATGCAGGCTGAAGGATAGTGCAAAGTGTATTCCTGGACCTTGTTGTAATATTGATTGCAAAATTGAAGCAAAGGGCACCAACTGTCGTCCTGCTATTGACGACTGTGACCTCCCAGAGTATTGTGATGGTACCTCTGCAGAGTGCCCGGCAGACAGCTATAAGCAAGATGGTACATCATGCGGTAGACTTCACTATTGTTTTGGGGGTCGGTGTAGGAACCCTGATAATCAGTGCGTGGCTATATATGGGTACAATGCACGGTCTGCCCCAGAAAACTGTTACATTTCAATAAACAGCAGAGGGAACCGGTTTGGAAACTGTGGCCATCCTACCTCGGCAATGCCAAGATATGTTAAGTGTTTTGATGATAATGTATTTTGTGGGAAAATTATATGTACAAATATTAGAGAGGTAGCACCGATCAAATCCCATCACACAATGATCCAGATTCCCTATGAAGGTGACTTCTGCTGGAGCATGGATTCCTATAACACCACTGACGTCCCTGACGATGGAGATGTACACTCTGGCACTGCCTGTGCCCCAAACAAAGTCTGCATGAATTACTCCTGCCTTGATGATGCTGTGCTCAAGTATGACTGCAAACCAACAGAAATGTGTAATGGGAGAGGAGTCTGTAACAATTTAAAGCACTGCCATTGTCAGGCTGGCTATGCACCCCCCGACTGCAGAACTCCTGGAAATGGGGGTAGTGTGGACAGTGGTTCTCCTGACAAAACAGACAATGAAAATCCAAGTGAGGGTGAAAGAAAACGTCATAGTGTTGATCATGGTAATTTTGGCAGAGATAGGAGGAATAAAGGTGAAAGTGAAATCATTGGCCCAATAGTGTACCTATTCCCCGTGCTTCTTCTAGCAGGGCTTTTAGTTCTAATTATTGCTTGCTGTATTGGGACCGGAAAGGATTTTTCACAGTGCTCAGAAGGGGACCTAGAAGAAACTAGAGAAGTAGTTGCACAAGGAGAAGGCATAAGAGAGGAAAAACCAAAGGAAGCAAATGTGTAGTGATAAGAGGAAGTCTACTATAGCGAACACTTGGTGGGAAGGAGGCTCAGTAGAGCGAATGTGGAGTGCGCATTAACAGCGGCAGTGGCTCTGATCAGGACTGTAAGGACTGGAGAAATGTACTAATGTGGGAGGAGGGGTTTTCTTCTGTCTTTTAGTAATTATATATACATATGTGAAATCACTTATAAAACATTTTACTACTATTTTTCATTTTCCCATTTCATGAAACCATTAAAATAACTTTTCTCATGGATCAGTGCTCAGTAGATAGTGACCAAGTGAAGGATTTAACCAGAGCCAACCTTAGGATAGGATGTAATTCTGTTAAAGTTTTACATTATAAGGTGGCAAACTTTTTTTTAAAAAAAAACCTTACTTTTTTAAAACTTATGTCTACAAACTTAATTTCAGAACAGAATTTTGGTGTTCCATATGGCAAATTTCTCACTGACATGTTTTCTCAAAAGATCAGATTTCTGCCAAGAATGTTTAAAAAAGTGGCATTTTAAAATTGATACTCCCTCTGCTCTGGACATTAAGCTTTACATTTATTTGAACTATGAAAGAATTTTTTAAAAAGATCCAGTACCACTTTTGTTATTTAATAAAATTATGGAAGTCTTGCATGAGGTTGTAGTAGAATGAAATATATGAGGATATGAAGTTCTTGAATCAATCTGTAAATGACAAAGCCATAGTGGCTCTTCTCACAGTTAGAAAACATTTTAAAAATTATTTAAGAAGAGAACATCAGAGGTGGAATCATGACTGATCAAGTGTTTTCAATCTCATGCCTGTTTCATTGCTATAATCTAACTGGGCCCTCTAATGTTCTTACTAAGGTACCCCAGACACTGATTTTGTCCCCACAGTCTGGAGTTCAGGAATGTCCATTGCTCCCCCCATTATCTAGAGTAGACAATGTAAAGTTTGTGTGGCATTAATATCCTGTGACAAATGGGTGGTTCTGTCCATTTCAACCATTGTCTCCTATGGCTTATGAAAACAAGCATTTCCTCATATTAGTATGTCTAACAAAACCTGTCCTCATTGCATACCATGGCCACTTCCAACTCTGGGCTCTTCATCATAGTCTTGTCTCAACTGAATGACCTTACTCTTCAATGGCACACCCTTCTCTACTCTATTGAATGAATCATGGGTTCTCTTTGAGAATACTCATGGAGAGAACCTATGGGGGGAACTCAGTCTGAAACAGACCATCAAGTATTTGTTTTCTTTAGAATAGGGAGTATGTGAACATTGTTGCTGTTGAGCGAAATTTCCAACTGGTACTTTGAGAGTGAGAAATGTGTTTGTTCATTTATGGAACATGTTCTCAGAATCTCAAATTCTGGAGGTACTCATGCATTAGTGGAGAAATGGAAAGAAACCTTATAGGAAACAAAAGGAATAAACTCTGAAAGAATAACATTTCTTCTAGTAATGCATTTTCAGTCACCTAATAATCATGAGCTTGGTGGCAGTGCAGACAATTTCACATGAAAAAATAGAAATAAATAAATAAAAAGACAGAGTATTAGTGCCAGGGAACAAGAGAAAAGGCTCTCACTCGTGCCCTCCAATGACCACTTATCAACTTCAAGCCATCCTTTATAGTTCTGTGGATAAATTAGGTCATTGTAACACTACAGAAAATCAAATAAATATGCCAAATAAAGCAAAGGATACCAATAAATCCTTTGCTTTTAAAAATTAGAATGGATTCCTGCCCAGCTGGCAAGGCTTAGCAGTTGAGCATCGACTTATGATCCAGGAGATTCCCTGTCAGGGCACATGCCCGGGTTTCGGGCTCGATCCCCAGTAGGGGGCATGCAGGAGGCACCCAATCAATGACTCTCTCATCACTGATGTTTCTATCTCTTTTTCTCTCCCTCTCCTTTCCTCTCTCTGAAATCAATAAAGATATTAAAAAAAAAAAATTAGAATGAGTCCCAACTTTCAGGTAACTGATTGATGTGTCTTGATTTAACAAAAACTCACAAAAATCTCTTTATAGGAAAACTAAAACAGTTGCAACAAAATGATATCAGTACATCAAATCCTCCAACTATTGAGTCTACACTAAAGTATTTAAATTTTATATAATAAGGTGTCTAAAATAAGAACCTGTTGTTTATTCATAAATATTTCCAGAACAGACACAATTTTTATTCCTCTCTATTGTCATGTCAGGTGTTTTTATGACCACTGTAAGTATATTAGAATGTGTTACACAACAGCTCAGGCCTCAGAGAAAACAAGAGCACCTCTCCTAAGCACTGTGAGAGGGCTTTCCTCTCCCTGCGTTCTAAATGCACGAGTGCTGTGCATGCTTTGAGTCTTCAGTTTTTCCAGCCTAACAAATCCAACCAGGAAGGACTTCCTGAGAGCAAAAAAAAATAACCCTTTTTAAAAGAAAGAAGTCATTTTTCTTCTGATTGACGTGGCTTTCACATTCATGTCCGTAAGTCTCAGGTGTTCATTTCTGGCTGATTGGTCTTAGACAAGGAACTTCACTTCCTTGGGCCTGGGTTACCTTTTCAGTAAATTGGCCACACAAAGGATGCTTCTCATAGAGTGGATGAGAGATTAAATTAGGTAACCATGTGTGCTATCTCTAGTGCAGTACCTGGCATATAGTGAGTACTCAAATAAATGCTGAGAAGATCTAAAATCAGATGAGATGATGATATGTTGTTCGGCGACATTAAGATTTATCCACAACCAAGTCACAACACTGAATTTCCTTTACACCAATGGCATTCTGACCTACCATATGGCCATTTGCAAACACGTTCTGTTTCCTCTGGTAACTGTAAATCTCTGGGGGAAACGGAGTAACATTTGGTTAATGTGGCAATCACTGCCGTGGGCCCAGTTATGGGCAAGACTGGTCGGGATTTTATTCTTTTCCTCAAGAGCCCCACTCAAGACTGTCATGACCTGAAAAGCAATCATGCTTTTTGGAAACTAAATCAAGGATCTTAGCTTTCTCCCTCTTCTTACCATATCCTCAATCTTTATGTGCAAATAGCTCAGTACAGTTATTGAATATTCCAGGCCTTGCTGTCTAAGCTTGATGCTTTTTAAAGAAGTCTAAGTGTCCTAGGGGACTGATACATGCTGATACTCCCCATCCATCCATCCATCCATCCATCCATCCATCCATCCATCCATCCATCCATCCATCCCACCACTACTAAGTCCGTACCAATAAGTTGTTCTAGTACTATGGAAATAGTAGCAAACAAGACAAAGTCTCTGATCCATTGAAAATTTAAAAAATTACAAACCTGCCCCAAGTAGGTGTAGACTGACCAGAGCTAAGACAGATTGAAGGATCGCTCCATTTGCTATGTAAGTAAGGAACAGGCAGGGGCAGAACAATGGGCAACTACAGAAACAGAACTCCTGAAGTGTGCCAAGTTGTGTTCTGGAAGCTTGTAGGAGAGTGGCTGAAGTGCTGGTGGTGAAAAGGGGCTAATCTGGGTATATTATGAGGTTGAGCTAAAAGTATTTGCTGATGGAGCAGATGTAAAGCGTGAGAGAAAGGCAGCAAAGAAGGATGTCTCTCCAGTAGCTTTGCCCTGAGCAACTGCACAAAAGATTTGCCACTTACTGAGATGGGGATACATGTGCAAAGACAGGTGTTGAACATGTTCAGTTTGAGATACCTATTAAACACCCAAGTTGGCTCTTCAGCTATGCAGCAAGGTGATTGAGTCTGGAATTAGGAGAGAAGTGAGCTAGAGATGCAGAATTGAGAGCTGTCAGCATATAGATGGCATTCCAAGCCATGGGACTAGGTGAGACATCCTAGGGAGCAAGGAGAGCCAGGGAAGGAAACGGATCCCAGGAAGGGTGAGGACTTAGCTCCATGGTAATCCATGTGTAGCTATTGATGGGATGAGAAGGATTCAGGAAAGAAGTGGGAGACAGAGTGGCCGGTGTGGATGGAATACCACCATGAGAGAGTGTTGTCCTGAAAACCAAAAGAAGTGTTTGTAGAAGAGTTACATACTACAAATCAGTCCATCCACAGATTATCATGACTACCTTCCACATATATCCAGAATGTGACCCCTGATCACCATTGCCAACTTTCCAATGCACTGCAAGTCACCATCAACTTCCTCGCAGTCAACTGCAGAATTCTTTAAAGGGTCTCTCCGCTTCCAACCTGGTTCCCACAATAGCCTCTTTTACACTCAGCAGGCAGAGTGGTAGGTAACTCAGAACATATCCATTAGATTTTCAATGTTGCTAGTAGATTTAAAAGGGGAGGACTAAGTGTTGATCATTTGATGTCACAGTAGACAGTTATTCACTGGTAACCTGGAGTATAGCTGTTTAGATGGATGGGTCGGGATGAAAGCTCATTCTAGTGGAGTCAAAATATAAAGGATGAGTCAAAACACATTTCTGAAGGTGTTAAACCTATTGAGTGTTCAGAGAAATGAAGACTATATAGCCACAAAGAGTTTTCACTGTGCACCCACAGAATGGGCTCTATAGAAGACTGAAAATTCCAAGTGTTTCTGTGGAACAGTGGGTACTCTCATAATGCAAACTGCTATGCCACTCTGAGATAGTACCTTTTATTTCCTAGTTAAATTGAGGTCTCAAGTACCTTATCACTAAACTATTTTACTCTTAGGGGAATCACGTGGAAATTTCTGCTTATTTGCATCATGTTACTGGACAACAACGGTCATAGAAGACCTCTTCAGAGTATTGCAAAAGAAAAGAACCCTGTGTTCACAGATAATGGATGCTAAGTTGGATAAATCCACACAGAGAAATACAAGTTTAGAACAATAGAAAGGAATGAACTATAGCAGCACACAAACACCATAAGTAAATTTAAATACTCTGTGGAATAAAGAGGTAAACACTGCATTCATATGGATTCAGATGAAGTTAAGACATAAAATGAAAAGCATTTCCAAAATGTTAAAATAAGGTCCTCCAAAAATCACCTGCTCCATAAAAGC